TGCGAAGGCGAGGGCGGTTTGTGCCTGCTACCAAGCGGAAATGGGGGCGGCAGCTTCCTGCGGTTGCGACTAGGAGGCGGCAACGGCGGCTTGTAGCGATTGGGACCAGGAGGTGGCGACGACGACTTGGAGGTTGCGGCGGCCGCCGGTGACTGCTGCAATGCGAGCCTGGAGATGTGGATGCGGTTAGGGTGGAGAAAATGCGGCGCCGTCGAATATAACGGAAGATGGTAACAGAGATATCCTGAACTCCGATGGATAGTCATTTGTTCCCGAGTAGCAGGTGAAACACACGGAGGAGACACATTCCTCCGAGTGTTCCTTCTCCTTCCCGAGTGGTTTAAGCTTCACACGAAAATTATCGCTAGTGCATGCCAATAACACTCGGAGAACCCCGTAATACAAGGAGAAATTTAACTTTCTGGTGGTGAATTGATATGAGAATGTACACTCTAAATGCTGGAGGGGAACAACGGTGGCGACTGGTGACTTCTCCAGTTGTGGCTGTACCTTTCTTGCCTGCCTGCAGTGGGGTTTGATTGGGACAGATCGAACATTGATCGAACTTGCAGTTATTTGTTTCAGTTCAACTACGCTTTCATGCATTACTTTTCTTACTACTGATTAAACCACGAGTAGCCGTTTTGGAATTTGGATTACAACAGCAATGCAATTGCCGACTACATGAGGCGGGAGTCAGCGTCCCTCTTGGATGTCGATGGTGGGAGATATCCAGTTGTCCCGGCATATAATGGCCAAATCATTACAGTCTCAGATATTGTGGAATGTCTGAGACTGTCTTGCATTTATGTCCAGGCTGATGATATGGTGCAATCTCGAGATATTTGCCTCTCCTATATATAGCTTCTGCCAGCTATTAGCAAGGCGATATTTTGGCTTTCATTATTGTGCTGAGGAAGGTGTTGAAAGGGTTCGTGATTTCGCACTCACGGAGCTGCTACCAGACGATGATCCAAGAAGCGCTACAAGAGGGCATTCGGTATTATTGAGATCGAAGCAGCATGCTTTCCTTCATGATTACTTCTTCACTAACTATCACCACAGGATTTTACGGCTTTCCCCTTTGGTGTGGTCAAATAATCCAAGAAGTGAAAGGATGAGGCCAGTACCAATCTCACTGCCTGTAGCAATATTGGTACTGGTTGGACTATTGGCGTTGGTGTTTTGGTTAGTTGTGCTGTTTGTCATCGGAGGTCCATTTGGAGTATCTAAGTTTGCTTTCCATACAGTAGCATCTCTCCTATTGGCTTTATTTATGTTCTTCGCTGTGAAATCTGCTATGTCAAATTGTCAATGTACTGGCGTGAAATATGGGCAGCTTTTCAGAATAATTCTCGAGCTAGTACTAGTATTCCTGTTCACGTCACTTCCTGGAAGAGGCACCTCATCAAGCTAGTACTAAATGTGGAACGCTATGTTCGATGGTGTCTAAGCCCTCGGTGGACAAGCTCAAGCCAGCCTTACTGGCAGGGGCAGATTGGTCAGTACTCAATTATACAAAGACTATGACAACCGCTCTTTCCTGAAAGCAGGTATAGCTTGGTTCAACGAACAGATTCTGGGCGAGGAGTCACACCGTTTCATCAGGCATCGCCCAGTTGAAGAATATCCTGTCAGCTTGGCAGACAGTGTGATTAAAAGGGTTTCTCCTACTCTCCGAGGTCCTCCAACAAATGGGAAAACCTCTCTGCAGCGCCATAAAGATGAAGGTGGGAATGATTTTGGGTGGACTTTGAACCAAGAAACTCACACGCACGCTATCCTCACATGGCACATTGCAACCTGTTGCTGCGAAATGTTCTTAGTGCCGCCAGTGGAGAGGACAGACACAGACACCGGTGAGGACCGCTAGATCGTTGTGTAATTGTCAAGACACTACGCCTACTTGGTGGCCTTTCTTCTGCAGCTGCTTCCGGATCACAGCCTCCACACGAAGCTCGTGCTTCACAAGACTCACTGACGGTCCTGCAGGTGGCTTTGCATGACGAGGAGCAAACAAGCAGTGCACCTTTCCTGGAGGACCGGCGGCGGCCGGCGAGACTTGGACAAGATCTTTTACACAAGGCAAAAGAGCTGCTAGGGCTAACGAGGATGTCTATTCAACAGAAAGAGGAGAGGATTCGAGGTTTCCAGCGGTCACTGCCGGTGGACGTGAATGGCTTGACGATGACCTTTCAAAAGGGTATCAAGCTCGGACAGGATCTCGTGGATGCCAGTGTCAGAAACGTGGAGAGCTGGAAGTTGTTGGCTGAGTTCTGGGCGGAGACCATCCTGTACATAGCGCGCCCGGCCACACACATCGAACTGTTGGCGAAAGGCGGGCAGTTCGTGATGCATCTCTGGGCTTTCCTCTCCAACACTGGCATCTTCAAGTGGGCAACATAGTTGAGGTCTTTTACAATGGTTGGAAATGCTTCCTAACGCCTTCGAACGCCTCCGCAAAATAGCCATTTTGGTTGATTTATTCGTCAAAGGATAGTATGGTCATTGCGCACAGCCCTCCCCCTCTCACGCCCCCACCACGCCCAAGGGTTCACCCGGTCACCCCACGCCAACAGGAACTGCCTTCCTGGCACGCCGTTACCACTACCCTGCCCATGCCCCCGCCTATCCTGTTACGTCTTCACAACGCCTCCGGGGAGTTAGCTACAGCTCCGGGGAGCATCTCCTTCCCGATTCTGGTACGCATTCCGCTGACCGGTTGTCTCTGTCAAGATTTCTGGCTCTCTTATCTGCGCAATGGTTTCCACGTAGCACATACTTGTTCGATGTAATACCACATCAGGGTTACATGTTGTCTTAGCCTCTTAGGCCTCGCTGGTGGCTTGCCTTTTGAGTGGATCAGAAGGTTTAAATCATTTTAGATTTGGATTCGGATGCATCTTTTGCTCTCTAAAATTTTTGTAAGATGATTTTGTGCTTGTATAGAACCTGACCAAATGTGCTCATGGCTCATGGAAATACATTTTCTAGGACAGTATCGTCAGTAGTACATATTTTCTGGAGAAATACTATCTTATTATTATGTCAAAATGTTCTTATTAGGGGTTGATCATGCGTCAAGCGTTCCTTTCAGATTTTCTGTTACTCTTTTCTGGAAGAGTTTTTAACTGAGGAAGCACACCACCACATACTTAACTTGATTACACAGTGCACATGCATGTGCTACCCTTTACACAAGCTAGATTTCTGGTTAGTCGATGCATATTGGCTTATTCTTTCACAATTTTGATTTAGAATAGCTGTTCAGATTTGTTCTGTCTCCACTTTTTTTTTTGAGAAAAGAAGGCAAAAGGCTAATGGTCTTCAGCTATGATAGACATGTTAAGTATAGTCTGAACGGTAAACCCACTAATCTTTGTCCCATTGCCTCGCACTAATCTTTGTCCCATTGCCTGTATTTATAAGAGAGGTAGGAGAAAACAATATTTCTACTAACCCTCTTTGCATTACAAATTACATGTAGGTCCTTAACCCTTACAACCAGATTCATTTTACAAGAAGGGGTAGGACTAGCTAGGCCATCATGCCTTAGTGCCTTGCCCACTCGTGGCATGGCTCACACCCAACAAAGCTAATGGGCTTTGTCTCGTGTCAATGAAGGAAGCCATAGATGGCCGGTGGATGTATGACGTATATGTTGGCACTCAAAAAAAATTGGTGAATCCAGGGTGTTTTGAGAAAACTGGCCTAGCCAAATTCCTAAAACTAGATCCACACCGTAGTTAGAGTGATTTTGACAGCCTAAACCGAGATTGGAGTTGTATTTTGACATGAATATAAAGATCCATGGTTGATTGACGCGATCTAATCACATCTATTAGTAGATGTCTATCTTTTATCTTCTCCTAGACTACCTTTCTAACCATAATTGTCGTTCTTCTCTCATCTCCATGGCATGAGAAAGCACCATAGCTCGCCATCAAGCCTAAGACAGACCAGCTCTTCTCTCATCTCCATGGCATGGATGACCAAGTTTGTCAAAATCGGCAAGACTGGTTTTCGCAGAGGCAATGCAAGGAGCCCTTTGCATGTGCACATGGACGTGTCATGTGATGGCAAGTTATAGGACCAATACAATTTTCGGCGACTATGCAGGAGCGATTGTACGGTGGATCTCATCATTTGCTGTGAAGACGATGTCGTCAAAGATTTACAATCTACACATGAGGTATAAATTTCCAATCTACCTTTGTGGTTGTAGAGAATTCAAATGCTTTTGCTACTAGATCTTTTGAGAAAAACATTGCATCGGTCGGATATTATTTAGATTATTGTTCTAGATATCCAAATTATACATATGAGAATCATATAGAGAAGCCCATGCTCAACAATGTGTATTTCTCAAGTTATCATATTTTTAGCAATATGTAGCTACGGCCCCGTGCGCCTGACGGACCAGGATCCTAGGGATTCCCCATAGAGCCAACTACCCGACATGGGCTTGGGCCAAACCAAGGTCTGCTTGAAGACACGAGACAAAGCAGCGTGTGCTCCAAGCTGAGAAGGATCGACCTAGTCGGATTCTAGGAAAGATAACTTCTCAAATAAAACTGGAACTCCTCTATCGAATCCGACTAGAACTAGAACAATGCGCCTGCCCTCTGGACTATATAAAGAGAGGAAGGCACTACAACACAAATCTTTTCCGAGGTAGGTGTTTTTGATTAACGGAGACAGGTATTGCAACTGCCTCCGCAGAAAGGTCATGTTTAATCGTGGATTAACGGAGGCAGTTACTTTGCCCGCCTCGGTTAATCGATTAACGGTGGCGAACGCCTTAAGGTGACCGAGAGTCGAACCCACGACCTATCAATCAACACTACCACGCCTCTACCACTACACCACACGCACATATATAATATGCTATTTTTTATATCAATATTTTGTCATCTTATATTGGATATTTTGGCTACTAAATGAACTCAAATGAAAGGACCTGCAAATTAATTAGATTCTCAATCTAACTATGGCTTTCATTATACTGATTTAGTCATGACACTTCGTCTTATGCAAAATGTGTCAGGACTCAGGAGCTTGGAATGTTTTGACAAAAAAACACGAAGGTTTCTGTCCATAGACCCGCCTATACTTGCTGCTGCTTGCGCTATCTCTTTCAATTCCTTCATCCTCTCCCTTATCGCCACTGCCTTTGCACCATCACCCATGACCAACTCAATGCATCTTGCCAACTCTGTCCTTGTTACCACACCATCGCTGTTTTGCCCTCTGACCCCAACCTCCCACTCTTCCTCAACCAAGTACACATTCGTCGGCTAGACAAACGAGTTTGGCACACCGGACGCCACGACCTCCACCGTCGAGTTCCACCCGCAGTGCGAGATGAAGCACCCCACTGCCTGGTGCGATAGGACCTCCAGCTGGTCGCACCAGTCCACAACCATCCCCTACTGGCTCTGTTGGGTGTTCTCCAAGTCCGGTGAGCCATGGCTGCTGTTTTCATTGTCATCATCGTCGTCCTCGACCCCGTCCTTACGCACGACCAACAAGTATGGCCGTCCCCACTGCCGCAACCCTGCAGCTACCTCGTCCATCTGCCGCTGCTGACCTTCGTCATGCTCCCGAACAACGCGTACACCACCTACCTGTCTGCGTGGACGCGAAGCCACTCCATGTACCTCTTCTAAAGATGAGCATGCAGCCCGCAGCCCGGTGGCCTGCCCCGAAGCACGATTTTTTGGTCCAGCCCAAACACGGCACGGCACGGCCTGATGTACAAGCCGTGCCTAGGCCTCACCGTGGGTACGCCGGGCGGCACGACACGGCCCAATAACAGCTTAAGGCCCGGTAAAGGCCCGTTATATATAGAGAGAAAACCCTAATTCCTATATCATATTCCCTGTTTGGTTGTCAGCTCCCATCCGTCGCCACCAGGTCATGCTCGCGCTCCTTCTCCTCCCCGCGCCCCTTCTCCCTCCCGTAGCACCCCTTATCCTCCCCGCGGCCACAAGGCTCACGGACGCCACCCGCGGCGTCGCCATCACCCCCGCGCGGTGACGCCACTTTCTTCTCTTCACGCAAGTTGCGCGGACGCCGCCGCCACCACCGCTCGTCCCCAACCCACGCGCCTCCTGCTGTTGTTGTCGTCCCCAACGCGCGCTTCCGCTTCGCCGGCTCTGTCGCCGCCGCCTCTCACCTTCTTTCTCGCTCCACCATCGTTGGAGCACCGGGGATGCGAAATGTCAGCCTCCTCCCTCACGCAGGTGAAGCCATGGCCATGGAAGCAGCGATGGCGTGGGCCTCGGGTCGGGCCGTGCTCATCGGGCCGGTCCGGCATGGAAAGTGGCCCATAGTGCCGTGCCTGGGCCGGCGGCTAGGCACGAAGGACTGGGGTGGCACGGCATGGCGGCACGGCATGGCAGCACGCTGGGCCCTAACGTGCCGTGCCATGCAGCCCGTTTGCTCATCTATACTTCTTGTCGACGTGGTCGTCGTGCTCGAACAGATGGATTTGTGCGTTCGTTGAGGACCCGACCATGGGGCCGACGGTGACCACGTCCAGGTGCCGCTTCATCTCCGCGAGCACGTTGGCCTCTAGCTCCTCGATCGTGTTCACGAGCACCTTGGGCCGCCATTGGTCCATGCTCTCGAATAGCTCTCGGAACATTTCCATGAGGGCATTGGCCAGCACGCTGCCTATCTTATCGAGCAGGAAGGACAGGAAGTCCCATAGTAGGAGAGGATGGCTTAGTCCGGGCAAGCTCATGCTCACCTTGTGCGCGTGGTCGCCGCCGGTGGCGTGCCCGGTGATGAGCTCGCGGTAGCCGCCGTGGAAGTAGTGGTACTCGATGTCGAGAACGGTGGCCGGCCTGATCCAGGACACGACAAAAGGGATGCTGTGGCTCCTCGCCACGTCCACCATCGTGGGCCCCGCCATCATGAACACGATGCACGTGATAGGCTTCCCACCGGCGGCGAAGTGCGCAACGATGGAGGAGAGGCTCTCGGCGGTAACGCGGTGTCGGCGCGCCCAGTCCTCTGCGGTCTTGGGCGCGGTGGCGCCGTCGTCGAAGCCGTCCGAGTGGTGAACGTAGGAGATGACGCCGTCGCTGCAGGCTGGCTGCTCGTCGCCGCCGCTGTCCGGCGAGGGGAACAGGCACCGTTGGGCGGTGACCGACACGGAGAGTGTGGCAAGGATGGAGCGGCCATCGATGCGGTTGAGCCGTGCGAGAAGGTGAGCTAGGTGCGGCCTGGGTTCACCGTTCACGTGGCTCTGCATTAGGGATGAAAACGGTAGGAAACGGTCGAAAAATCCCTAAAATGTTTTCTACTTCTACGTTTAAATACGAAAACAAAAAAGAAAGTTGTAAAGCCGGACACAAAAACGAACACGAACTTATGGAATATCGAGAATTTCGGAAACAAACTAATTCGAGCAAAATTATGTCGAACACGGTCAGTATACGAAAAAACAATACGGAATATTAACTCGTAGGACCAAGTGCATAACAATTAACAAGTTCTACAACTTTTATATAAAAAATATCTCCATTTGACACCATATAAGAACGGTATTGCTAAAGGACACTCGCGTGTTTCTGTTGGAGAAAACACGTGATTTGTCCTTCGTCGGATGGGGCATCGACGGCGTGCGCTTGTGCGGTCTGTTTTCCACCCGCTCCATCGCTGACATGTGGGACCCACTTTACTGTTCAATTTTGGATCGTCGCGCCTGCCGAGAAGTCTCCGCTCCACTCGGTCCACTCCTGTCCATTTTGCTTCCTCTCCCTTTCTCTCCCTCATCCTTGGCGACGCCGAAGGTGACGGCGATGACGACGGCGTAGGTCTGCTCGGTCTTCTTCCTCGCTTTTTGATTCGGAGGGTGCGTCGCGGCGGAGGTCAGCAGGTAGTACGGCTCCCTCTTCCCTTTATTTTGACCCATTTTGGTTGCGATTTGGTGGTGTGGATCTGGTGATTTCGATTCGATGGGCTCATGTTAGGGTTTGGTGGTGTGTGGATTAGGGTTTGTTGGATTAGCTGTCATTGTGCCTCTCTGTTGGTAGCTCACTGGCGTTTGTGGTGAGTGCTGCGGTGGTTGATGCGCATCCCCTTTGATTTCGCATCGTAGATTTGGAGTTGGATGGGTTTTTGTTTGGATTGTTAGCAGGTGGCGTGGATTTGTTTTCTGTGTTTCTCGGTTAGATTCTGTGTACCATGTATCCAATTAAACAATGGATGGCCATTGCCTTATGTGAATTTAACTATTACCTGGTTCATTTGAGCCATCTTCTGTAGTGCTTGTTGCCACTTGTTGATCCCTTCAACTGTACTGAGATCATAGTTTTCTTCTGAGGTGTCATACATATCTTCAGTCCTATTCCTGGAAGTATAGTGAATCTATAAGATATTTGTGATATCACACACATAAACTGGGTTCTAGAATGCTGCTTGAATATAAGTAAAGTGAGCTGCCCTTTATTGGTCATGTTCTGTGTTATTACTTTTGTGGTCATATTATGTTTCTTTAAGAAGCTTTTGGTAGGGAGTTGTCCGCTATTTCGATCAGTCTGATTGCAAATTAAGGTTTAGTTCTTTGGGGTTCAGAGGTTTAGATATGTCTGAACCCAGCAACCTGCTATGGTAGCCACTATTATATACTTGTGCCTTTACTCTAGACTAGTGTGGTTCAGGGTTCAGTGTTACCCTTGTATGCATTGTATGCCTGTGCTTGTGTTGTATACTTGTATCCATGTGCTTGAGATATCATTGTTCATACTTATTATGTGTGTCCTCTCTGAACTCTAGTTTGGAGTTAGTTAGTTTGCCCTAAAATGAGAAATGTCCTGCATTCAAGTTATCTGTTAGTATTATTACCTACTGCTGATGAAAATAAGGCAAATTTTAGATTGAGTTTCACAATTTGCAATTACTGATAATGTAAATTGCACTTATAGGGCACTGCAATTATAGTTTTCAGCATATGTAGTATTGTCCCTTATATGTAGTATTGTTGCAGTTGTCTTATGTGAACCTTGTAATGTGAGGATTGGGTTGATGTTAAGTACCCGTTTGGTTTTATGTGAACCTCCATTTGCAGTAGTCCTTATATGGCGTTTTGTTGTTACTGTGTCTTTATTTTGCTTGCGTATGCAAAGCTGCATTATTGAAGTTGTCACTGATTTCATAATCACAGTTTGCTGGTTGTGTAGCCATGGAGGATGAAGATCATGTTTATGATAGTAACGAGGATGTGTATGAATCGAGCTCTGATGATCTGAATGAGCTAGAGGTACTAAGTTTTTATGTGTAGTTGATGCTGATTTTGAAAGCTATATTGTGAAATATTTTGTCTGATATGGATTGTTTGGTTTTTTAAGGACTCAAATACCGAAGTTGATGGGGATTATGATGCAAGATCAATGGTGAAGATGTTCCAGCATCTGCAAGAGGCCTTTGCAGGGGTATTTGCGGAACTTAGTCTATTTTTCTCTGATTATTTGATTCTCATCCTGTCTTTTTTAGTTTGCAAAGTTTGTTGACTCTAAAGGGAAAGCAAGTCAGCGTGGTGTCCAGACACGTGCTGGAACGGTACATTTTGTCTCATGTTTATTATTTGATGTGCTTCAAGTGGACTGAATAGACTAAGTTGTTTAATGTGTGTGTTTGTTGCATTGGTTTTCAGAGTACCAGGTCTGTGAGAGGGAGGGGTAGAGGGAGAGCGACTAGTACTGGAAGCACTTCTGAGAGAGCAGGGAGCAGGTTCAACAGGAAGTATTTTGGTGAAATTATAGCCCAGTTGGATGATCATAAGAAGGACATAGTCAGGGATCATGGATTTGGCATCTTACTGTAGTATGATGGTTGTTCGGCACCTAAGGGATTTATTCAATGGATCAGTGATCAGTTGGTCTTGAACTGTAGTGATTTTCTTATAGGAGGGAAAATAATCCCCTTATCTACATTGTCAGCCCATCTGTTCTTGGGCCTCCCAATGGAAGGTGAAGATATCAGGCAGGCTTATTCTGAATCCACAAAGAGCCAGTTCCTTTCAGCAATCAAAGAGTCCTCTCTACCCCTTATCAAGACGTTTGGCCAGAAGCTGCTTAGAGATACCTTATGTGATGATGATGTTTTCCGGTACTTCATGGTGGTTGCACTGTCAACGTTCCTTTGTGCAAATTCCAGCACCCTTCCCACCCTTTTATTTGGCCCCTTGATTGATGTTTCTAAGGAGAGGGTCATGGGGTGGAACTAGTCCAAGCTTGTATATGATTGGATTTTTTTCTTCTATTTCGAACTACAAAAAAGAAGAAAGAAGCACCATTGGGGGTTGTCGATATTTCCTTGTCAGTATGTCTTTTTTCCTTCTTGTCATTTCATTTATTCTCATCATTTGTGTTTGATCTGGATTTGATTTTAGTGATGTTGTTTGAAATGTTTTGTAGGGTTACTATCTTGATTTCATCAACTTTGGAGAGAGTAATCAGCCACCCCAAAAGTCCGCCAAGGATCCAAGATTGGAAGGGTCCATGATCAAGAATTTTTCTTCTTTTGATCATGTTTATGTGACATTTATGGAAAGCTGCCGGTAAGTTCTTGGTAGAAGATGTTGAATATGTTGTTTCAGTTTGTGATTTGTCCAAGGTGGTGCCCTCTTTTGTCATTTATGTCCACAGTAAATTATATATGTAGAACTGAGAATATGAATGGCTGCTGATGTTATTGAGATAAAGTACATACGTTTATACTTGTGTTTTGCTGTGTAGTCTTGTTAGTCTTGTATTGAGTTTATATATTTTTGAGATCACTGTCTGAGCTGGGATATGTTTCGTGCAGGTGAAATCAATTGATGACACATGCTATGCAGGAGAATACCTGCCGGAAGATGCTACCAAAGCATTGCTTAAACTTTTAGATAAGCATTGTCATTTTCTTCCAGCAGATGTGGGTTCCTTGTCATTTATTTTTTGCTGACTGTTCATGTAAATTCAATTTTGACATGGTTGACATTGTACTATTATCTTGTCTATACAGGACAAATTACACGTGTGTAGGCTTTACGAAGATCATCAAGCAAAGCATGGTTACTATAGCCCTGACCTTCTTGTTGCCAAGATGTTCATGTACATGCATTGTGCATACCCTGGTGTTGGTTATGATGCACGTGCTGAGGCTCAGAATCCTGATGATGGAGTTCATCATAATGTTGCTGGTGCTCATGATGCTGTGAGGTCTAGTACCAGGGTGCCCTCTCCAGCACATGATAATGTTGACTATGGTGCCTCTGCCCCGTGTCCGCCTTCTCCAGATCACAGTACTGTTCCACGAGATGGTTTGGATGAAAGAGTGGCTGGTGCTCCAAGTAATGCAACTGTCAGAGCAGTTGATCCATCTAGGGTTGTACATGAGACTAAGACTGAAGAAGCATCTATGACAGAGAAGATCGAATCAGATGGTCTGTATGATGATGCTGTTGGTACTCAGTTTTGTACTTCGCAGGCAACTGAGATCATCTCCTCAAACAACTCTTCTGCTCATGGTACAATTTGTTTTTGATGAACAGTTTTTTATTATTTTAGCATTGAATTGAAATGATTCTTTATTATCTGAAATTTTTATTTTCTTTCTTTGTAATTTGTTTTTTTGTAGAATCAGGTGAAAGGAATTTGAAGAGGAAACAAAATCCGTCATATCCATCTGTTGAGATTCTTGGTTCACAGGACCCAGCAGGTCAACGTACCTGAAGTTCTTTTTTTTATTTGTTGTTGCATTGAATTAAATTCTGTATTTCATTTGTTTGAGCTTGGATTGAAAGACTTGTTTATCCTTGGTTTGTGGATTTATTGATTTGCAGAGTTAGTTGCAAGGAAAGGGAAGAGGAAAAGAGACACTTCATCGCCATCAGTTGGAACTGTCTGTTCACAAGACTCAACATCTTGTCGGGTTTGGATTTAAGTAACTTGTGTACTTGCTTGTACTGTTATGCTCATTTTTTTTGTGGAATTAGGTGCAAGGAAAGCGAAGAAGACAGTGAATGCATCTTCCCCTTTAACTGAAGTTCTCCATTCGAATGTGCCATCATCTCAAGGTATGTTAATTTTCTGTAAGACAGTTTCAGGATTAGAGTTCATTTCTTCATATTGTGGCAATATATATCTTTTGGGTATTTACTTTTATAATTTTTGGTGGTGTTGCAGGTACAAGGACTAGCAAGAGGAACAAGAACTTATCTCCATCTCCTATTCCTACTGGTGTGGCTTCGAGGACTCGGTTTGTTGC